TGGCTCGGCCACGGGCCGATAGGGTCAGAGCAGTTAGGAAAATGATCATGATTAACAAGGGAAAACGCACAATTAAGGCATAATCAGCCAATTAGCATCGTATTACCTAATTTGGTAAATGTCAGAAGAGGCCCACCACACTTAGGGCCCATGACAGGTAGTATAAATAGGTCAATGGAAACGAGGTATGTCACTGTTCATTTATTACTCTCGAGAATTGTGCTTGTCTTGACTTGAGCGTCGAAGTACCTTTTGCAGGTACCTCCCCCCTCCGAAACATCCACCTGAAGCTCCCGTTCGGCCCTTCTCCCACCAGAAGATTACGAGTGTGCCCTTAGACAGGTACAATTGACATAATTAAATTCATTCACAAAAATTAAGATATTTGTTAAGTAATTACAGTCAATAATAAATTCAAACCTTATAAAATCATGTATGTTGTAGCATTATTTTCCTAACAAAGCTTGCAGACAATTGTTACGCTAGCTAATTAAGAAAGTTTCTTTTTGTTTACACAAATCCTATTTTTTTAAAAACAATAATCTTATTTTCTAAACTAAATTTTATTGGAACTTGATACTCGGAATAAATGGTATAATTAAAAATATAATTTCAATTAAATGAAACGGTATTTTAAAAAAAAATACTAAATTTTCTTGGAACTTGATACTCGGAATAAATGGTATAATTAAAAATACAATTTCAATTAAATGAAACGTTATTTTAAAGAAAAATAATAATAAATAAAGTAATATTAGTTGAGATTTGTTTATGTTATATTTCTGATTTTAATTATAAGTAATAAGTTGATTTTTTTATTTTAATTATAAGCAAAATTAATAATTTTTTAGGTTATTTATGGTTAATTTTTTTTTTATATTATTCATTTATTATTAACTATTTTTTTTTAATACATTTACGTATAACTAACATTAAATATAACATCTATTAAAATAAATGGTATCTTTGAAATAATACTTGTGTTTATGATAGAATTAATTAAAAGTAATCATATTAATTATTTTTCTTGATTTAAGTAATTTATCTTATGTTGTTAATAATTAAAACTAGAGGTAGTACTCTCTTTGGATCTATATATAAGAAATAAAATGCTTCAAATTTTTGAAGTAAAATATAAGTAAATTTCAATCAAGTCAATCCTACTTAATACTCTAAATTCAAAAACACCTTTATGGTAATAAATGAGAGTACTATATATCATAAATGTGATTAAAGATATTTTAGGAAATGTAGTGTGTATTTTATAAGAAATTGTGAAAATTAAATACATTTATTAATATATCTAACATCAATTATTTTTTCTTATATATAAGTCTAAAAAGAGTATTTGACATTAATCAAGATAGTTTTTTTTTTTCCCTTAGAGCATCTCTAATTCTAGATTTTTATCCGGTTCTTAAATTTAAGCTCACATTGCTTATAAGAAACCTACATTTGAGCATGTTAACATGACAGGTCAAATTGCTAAAATTTAAGCACTGTTGCTTATATAAGAGACAGTTGCTTAAGAATAAAAAATTTTAATATTTCATTCATCCACTGATGCCAACAACTATAATAATTAATTTTTTTAAAATTTATTAAAAAGAAAATATGAGTGATTAAAAAGTGGAGGTTCTTATAAACAACTTTTATTAGAGTAAAAGTTATAAAAAAAATATAATATAAGTTGCTTATGAGTGATATGGTAGTGTGAAATCCATTTAAAGTGGATGAGAGTTACTTATAAATAATTCCATTGTAGATGCTCTAAATATATAGAACTAAGGGGAGTGTCATCTTAGTTTTTTTTTTTTATATACCAACAAAAAATAATACTCCTTTATCCCAAAATAATTGTCAATTTTGGTTGTTTTACATTAGAAAAAAAAAAGATAATAAATATACGAGAGAGAATGATAGTCTTAAAAATTTAACCTCATTGAATTTTACAAAAATAATAAATGTATAGATGAGAGAAAACCTTAATATTAAGGGTATATATAAATGAAAAATATAATCAATTCTACCTTGAAAAGTTAAAATAATAAATATTTTAGGACAAATTGTTCTTATTTTGTGAGAATTATTTTGAGACGAGGGGAATAAACAAAAGAAAGAAAATAATAATTTTACAAAATTTATCTTATTATTATTCTTATTTTTTAGAAATGATATTCCTTTTGGACTCGTCTATAAGCAAAATTATCTAAATTTACGCATATTAAGGAAATTAATCAAGTTCATTTAATTTTATTAGTTTCATATAAAAACTAAACTTTACTTCTTGTAGTACCCTTAATAATATTTATTGGAAGGAGAAATTATATTTAATTGAAGGGATATTTTTTTAAATGATTTATATCTTATAGGCTCTCTCTTTCTCTTTTTTTTTTTTTTTAATCTTCATTAATTTAATTGAAGTAGTTTTTATCTCTTTAATTTATAAACTATTTTGTCCATCTTGTCTTTCACTCTCATTATAAAAAATCATTTTATATCATTTCACATTTATCAACTAATCTTACTAAACACTTTTAATTCAATTAACTAATTTATATAAGCTTTTAGCTTTTCAACTCTTAACTTATAATTTATAACTTTTCAACTAATTTATAAGTTATTTTTACTGAACAAACCCTATAAATAATAAAAAGAAAAATTTTAACAACACTATCTTTACAATACTCTTTATTATTTATTGAAATTTATTAAAAAGCATAAAAAAAATTTGGATACTGCATCTTCACCTTATCTAATAAGTCTCTCATAATTTGACATACTAAAATTTATGATTTTCTACCAATAAAAAAAATACTAGTAAGAGACTATTAAATAGAGAGT